TATTTTCTCCAACATATTATGATCAGTACGTCACAATAAACTAAGTAACAATGAACTATACAGTTAAATAACAGCTATAAATACTAGATAAATATGATCTAGATAGGAGACTGGTGCCCAAACTAGGTTGCCCTGTGCTATGGGATCACCAGGCCCCTCCCTCAACAGAAGTGAAATTGCCGTAAAACACTTAATAATCAATACAGTTACGTGTAATAAAATTACATTAAAATGTACTTGTTTAGTTTGGAGACACTGTGTAAAAATTACTTATTAGGTATGTACAAAGAAGAAAAAAATGCTTTAAATATTAGTAAAGGTAAGCAAGTGTATTAAATGTTAATAATTTGGTGTGTGTGCATGTGGTGTATAGTATATGTGTGTAATATATATTTAAACAATGCGTTCAAATAGATTTTCTGTCTCTTCGTAGTCTAATGATTTAAGCCACTTGATTAAGTAAATTTTTGTTTATAAAAAGATAACATAACCCCGAATTTTAAATATTAGTCTCAGTACAGCTGTCATAAAAAGGGCTGAAAATTATCTTGGCTCGGATCCCTAGCCACTGCGGGATTCAGGGTAATTAAATTGCATTTCATTTAGCTAAAGAAGCCACCAAATCTGGTTCCCTCCCTAAACAATGCCTCTATGCATATGACCTCTACCAAAGGCTGGTGCCAGCCTTCTGTCTTCATCGCAAAGTAATTTGCATCAGTCTAAACTTTTAAAATGTAAATACTATTCCAAAGTCCAAATTAATATCCCATCAAAACCCTGTTTTTATTCAATATCGCCACTTTAGAAAAACAATCACTTCTACTGTTTGTCGCCTTAGCTTTGGACATGCTTGTACTCCGGTAAACTTAGCTAAACTAAGGATTAGCGATAGCTCAATCTGTACACACTGATGGTGACCACCGTGAGGTTTTAGCCGGTAGGAGTTGCCCCCGCAACAAATGGTATCCATGATGATTTAAAAAAAGGGATAGCTCAATCTGTGAATGTGGGCTAGACGAAGAATCCGTAAATCATCTGTTCTTTGACTCTGAGTGTCCTAATCTTTCTCACTCTCTCTATGACATACTGCTCAATTACATCCCGCGTCCTGTAAATTTCCAGTATTTATTGTCCCTAATGTAAGTATTATTCGTACTAATAATATTAAACTGTAAAATTACTAACCAATTTTGGCGATCATATTTAAAAATGTGACGTCTTTTGTTGTAGATTGTGAATCCGCTCGTAAAATTGAGAACTCTTAATGTAATAATTATTTACTTACTTGTCACTCCCATGACTGACTTGACACTGGCAGAATTCTATCAAGAGAAGCCATAATTTAAAAGACGAAGAAGAGTGATTGGAGGCGAACAACCAGGAGGTCATCCATTTAGAAAAGGCAGGTCACTTTCGTCCCTCCAAATCGAAGCTGAAATCCAATCTCAGATTTCTTCAGCGAAGTGCTAAAGCGGTTTAGAGAGAGGCAGAACCAGATCGGTCTCAGACAATCACCCTGGAAGATATCCCTTCATATCCTTATACGATCTTCCGTATCCGTATATAAATAAGAAAAAATAATATACAGATTTATTTTTCAAAGTAGCCAAATTTTAAACTTAAGTTCAAATATAAAATAATGATATACCGTTATTGTAGTTTTTGAAAATACGAGTTAATAAGGCTCCTACTTTTATTTAAAATTATCGCAAACTGAATGTGAATTATGGGCAACACCTACGCGTACGCGCGATCGACCCTTACGAATGCGTGCGTGCGTAGGTAGTAAAATAGCAGATGATAGATATTTATGAATGGCAATCAGTTAAAATAATGCATTACGACGCATATTGAGTTTAAAAGATAAAAAAAGAATATCCGAGATTTTTTTCAATTAATTTTTCTTCACTATTTGCCTATATTACTTATTCTGAATCTTCTCTGCAAATTAGGCCGGTTATTGCAAAATAACCCTGTAAACGTTGAATATAATACTAATATAAAATAAATAAAAACCCAACCAGGGCTTCTGCCCTCGGTATAGGTGTTCTAACGGCCGTATCATCATTCATTATATTCATTATAGCACTTCACAAGTCCACTACTAAACATAGGCCTCCCCCAAAGAATGCCACAAAGCACTTGAGCTACCTGCATCTATTGACTTCCTGGATATCTTACCAGGTCGTCACTCCGACTAGTGGGGGTCGCCTTACACTTCACTTTCCGGTACGAGGCTGCCACTCGACAAACTTTCTTCCCCATCGGTTGCCAGTTCTTTGAGCTATATGGCCAGTCCATTGCCACTTCAGTTTACTAATCCGTTGGGCTATCAGTCACTCTGGTTATACTTAAGGTATCCTCATTTATAACTTTATCAGACAGAGAAACCCCGAGCATAGCTCTCTCTACAGCTCGCTGAGCGACCTTGAGCTTTCTCATATGGCCAGCAGTGAAGGACTATGTCTCAGATTCACATGTGATTCGCTGGCAACACGCACTGGTTGTACAATCTCGTTTACAAGTTTTGAAGTATATCTATCGAAAAGATGTGTCATAATTTCCTGAACGCTGCCCAGCTGAGTTGAACTCGTCGATTGACCTCTCGGTCGAAATTGGACTTACATAGTCCGACTATTTGTCCCAGGTAAACATACTGCTCGACAACTTTGCGCTTAGTGCTCCCAACAACTACCGGTATAGGCGTGACATGGACGTTGCACATCTTTGTTTTCCATCCATGTTTATCTTAAGACGTATGCGTTGGGAGGCACTATTGAGGTCATTGAGCATAGTGCTGTCCTCCAGCGATTCTGCCATAAGGACTATATAGTCGGCAAATCGAAGGTGAGTGATGTACTCGCCATTGATGTTAATACCGTACCGTTTCCAGTCCAGTAGCTTGAAAATGTCTTCCAATGCAGTAGTTAAGAGTTTCGGGATATAACGTCACCATCTCTTACACCTCTCTACAGATCTGTGGATGGGTTTCGTACTCTGGTTCTGTATTAAGATCACCACCGTAGCCCTACTGTACGAACACTTCAGCACTTCGATACACCGACAGTCAACTTGGCACCACTGAAGGGACTGAAACACCACCCAAATTTCGACGGTATCAAAAGCTTTCTCATAGTCCACATACGCAAGGTAAAGTGGTAGATTGTACTCTTCGGTCTTATGTACAATTTGCCAAAGGTTGTGTATGTGGTCTATGGCGCTAAAGCCTTTTCGGAAATCGGCTTGTTCGGGAGGTTTGAAGTCGTAGTTTACGTGCGAGACGATTCGTAATTATTTTCGAAAACAGCACATAGATGTGGCTCAGAAGGGAAATCGATCAGTACTCAGTAGTTCTTCAAGTGAGAGTTGTTTATTCATTCCATGCATACTATTCACAAATATTTGAGATCTACTAGTTAAATTACATCTCGCATTCTGGTGGTATGTCTACCTAGTATTTAATCATCATGTACACGGAGGGTTAAGTAAAACACCATTGTGAAACGGAAAATAATATTTTACTAGACGACAAAATATTACACATACCTATTTAAGGTATATCCAGAGCTTTGAGGGAAAACAAATAAGGCTGAAACAACCTTAAGAATATATAATGTTATCCATTGGGTACAAGTTAACTTTGGTGAAATTCGACAATGATTATCAGATGTTATATTAAAGCAATAATAAGTGATATAGTGCAATTAAATAATCAAAGAGTATATTTTATGAAAGACATACTTAATAGAACAAATTTTACAAACTCTTATACCTTTTTAGTATCATGTCCAGGTATGCTATTTTATCTTATTTAGGTATTTTAGCAGATGAAATGGTTAGAAGCTACACACTGCAAATAATATATTATTTATTTCATGGTACTAATCAATATAAATAGGTTGTCATACATATGTGGAGATATCCACACATATTATTTTATATATATGCAAATAAATACAAAGACACTCATTAATACTCCATAAATTTGTGTAGTTTATAACTTGATGTGTAATTTTTTGATTGTCACAGTCCTTTATATGAAGGTTCTACCAATTTCTTGGTTTTCTAGATCTTAAATCAAACAATATCAAGTTTAATTTATAACCAGGACTGTCCTCTCACAAAGTTTCTATTTATTTCAATATTGTGACAACCATGAACTTTTGTTAAGATAACTTCCATATTAAGATTTTATACAAAAACAGTTGCAGCCTTTTTGTTCTGGTACCTATACTGTATGATAACATTAGTTACGAAAGATTTTGTAAACAGATACTTTGATATAATATATAATATTATCTGTGCCATGTGACTCCTCAAAATAAAATCATTCAAGATCTTTTAACTAAATGCTAACAAATAATACCGCAACCATTAAAATTATTTTTTATTTACTGTACTATAGAAAAACATGATAAGAATTAACTATGCTATAACACTATATCATTAAGCAAAGGCAAAGTTACTATAGATAGATATTATATATTGAAGTATGAGAATGGATGCCATAAGTTTTTTTTTATTGTTAATTTTTTATATTTCTACACAAAAGACAATTTAAATTTAACATTAGATTTAGGAAAATCAAATAGATAATGTAATTAATATTCTGACAAATATAAAAAATAAATAACTTTTTTACTAAAATAAAACAAAATGCCATGATAAAAAATGTTAAACATGTTAAACTATTATTTATCGTTTGCTATATGCACATGGTAATGATTGAAAGTTTGCATGTTTTATGTAGTGATACAGATTATATTATTATAATACAACTACAACAAAAAAAAACTTAAAATTCTTAGTATACTTGGTTTACCAAAACCTTACTATTAATGTTCTGTGCTGCCAGTCTATGATGGCAGGTCGATATATGGTAATATAATTTTCAATTTACAACTTCGTCCCAATGAATTTGATTGAAGGTATTGGCCGATGCCATGGGCAGCGCAGATCGTACATACAACATTGTTGTTTGAGATCTCATCTGTCCCCTGCTAATCAATAAATGATTGTTCTACACATGCTTTAACCCGTTTCTCATACTCTCGACGATTTTCCTTGTATAACTGGGCTGCCATTGAGTTTGCTGGTGAGTTTGGGTTAGGATCACTTAACAATGACTGTAAAAAATAAAAAATTATTAATATCACATCTTTGTATATATATATACAATGGATGGTGCATCTGTGATAGTGTAACCTTTGTACACTTTCACCAATTGAGGTCATATTCACACAATATATTTATTTGCTCAAGACAATGGTTTATTGTTACACTATGGATCTTATAGGTGACACTTAGGCCAAATTATTAACAAAATAATTTGGCCTAAGTACAGTTTTGTAAAGAAAATACAAGAATGTGGTGCTGTGGTCCAATTACTAATAAATGTTATGTATTCACTGTATCCTTGAGTGAATTCGGAGTCAGAGCCACTTTTTTTTTATAGTAAAAGGGTAACAAGTGAGTACACAGTCCACCTGATGATAAGTGGTTGCTGTGGCCCATAGACATCTACATATATCCTCAATTATGAATCAAAATACAGATGCCTTGTCACCCATGAGGACTAAGATGGAATGCCTCACTCCCAGTAAAAAGGGTCTCAGGTTCTCTACACTCGCCATACCAAACACAGCAACCTGGAGCTGCTATTTTACTCTGGTATTCTCTGCAAGCGTGGTCCTTCCCCAGTCGAGCCGACACATTTGTGGTATGACTATACTACTAGTATAGCTGCAGCACGGCTCTACCACATATAAAATTTATCTACCTACCAGAAAGGGCAGAACAAAACCTGCCAGGCCAGCTAGTTTTATATAAATTCTTCGATTGACAATCAAATTAAATGTCATTTAAGATAATTATATTAATGGGTTGGATTTAGAATAGTTTGTCAAAAAAAAAAAGAAACTATTATAACTTAGTGTAAAACATGAAAAAACTTATGCAAATTCCTGTGAAAGCTGGATAGCATATAGAATTTTATCTAAGTGCTACAAGGAGGTAAGACTATGTCAAAGACTAGTGTCACATGGTATTTTTATTCTTCTGTGGTCTATACTCTCTGTCCAGTGTCAAATTGCATGACATACAAATTTTTAAGCATTCCGCCATTGGTTGCTCTTCTTGCATGAATGTGTGCTGTCTAGTGTATTATTGTAGCTTTCATTGTGCGCAGAAATACTTGAGCACGCAAGAATACTTTCAGTCGAAACAGGTTAGAAGGTTGTGGCCTTCATGGTAATTTTTTTACCATCTAGAAACACTTGAGCACTCAGAAATGCTTACAGTTTTGATAAGAGACCCAAGACAATAAATGTTATCATTTTGAGATTAGATCAGGATTTTTCTCAAGAACGGTGTATTTACGTGGTAGAGCCATGCTGCAGCTATATTAGTAGTATAGTTGTAGCACGAATGGGTCGGCTCAACCGGGGAAGGACCACGATCTCACAGAAAACTAGTGTAAAATAGCAGCTTAACGCTGCTGTGTTTCGTATGGTGAGTGTAGAGAACCGGAGACCCCTTTTACTGGCAAAGAGGCATTCCATCTTAGTCCTCACGGGTGACAACACATCTACATCTTGAGTCTTTATTGAGGATAGATGTAGATGTCTATGGGTCACAGTAACTACTTACCATCAGGTGGACTGTGTGCTCGTTTGTCACCCTATCCTATAAAAAAAATTACCTTTTGATGGGAATGGTGTCGGGGGTTAGGGGACACTCCCCCTCCCCCTGCAACCAATAATTCAAAATATTATCCTTATTAATTTTTATTTATTTATTTAATTACTATAGACATGACATGTAACCAACTCTGAGGTTAAAATTTTTTTTGATTTTCTATACTTTTAATTATAAAAGACTCAATTGTAAATCAAAATTCATGAAAAAATAATGTAATTATAATATTATACCTGTATTGAGGTTAAGATGGCTGAAACATCATATGTGGGACTCCATCTATTTTGCAAAATGTCTAAACAAATGCCTCCATCAGCATAAACATTTGGATGGAACATTTTAGAGACAAACCGTACTGTAGGGGGTTTGTTAGGATATTCCTCTGTAAATTCTATGGTAAGTTTAAATGTCCCATCTTCAAATGGAGTATCATGGGGTCCAAATATCACAGCATTCCAGATCATGATGTTGTTGTCAGTAGGAGCACCGGAAACACCGGTGGGTGGGTCCTCTTGTAAACTGAAAATATTAAAATAGAACTTCAGTAGTGTACAAGCTAATTAAAAAAAGGAATGACATAACTATCATATTTAGACATTTTTTAAAATTATTTATAATAAAATAGAACGATCAAATAACAAAACAAAGTTTAAAGTTATAATTTTTACATAACCTATTCTCGCAAGAAATAACATCAAGCGTCATAAGTAGAGTAATTTTTGCCAAGGCTTAGCTAAGATTTACTTACAGTACGCGTAGTCGTATATCATTCACAATAATGAAACCAATCGACCTCATAAAGTATAAAGAACAGAATAGAAATCGATGAAGGTGAGTGATGTAATACGATGATAGAGCGTCATTTTATTGTTCAAACGGAAGAAGCAACTCCAGGATTTGCAGATTTTAGTACGATTAAAACAAAGATACACACCGCTTGAAATCTCTCATTAGACGTCGTCTGGCAGGAGTTGACATTTTGATTTCACACACTTATTTCACGGTTTCTTGCAATAACTGTTCGGTTCTTGTATGACTGGCTCTTATAGACTCGTGTGATTTAACGTTAATACAAGTTAAAATTCTCAATTAATTACTTCAAACAGTTTCTTTGTTCAGTTAAATAGAATTTTTACAGTCACTACCTGTGAAATAGTTGTCAGAATGACCATGAAATTAACAAAAAAAAACTAGCTGAGATCACTGATCGCTGCCAAACTGCCAAAGATGTCTTTTTTTTGGAGTTTATGGCCTGGCATCTAGACCTTTAGGCCAACCAAAGATGTCAATCAAAGTTAGTGTTGCCAGAAGGGAATTCAGATTCTGTGTTCTTTTTTTATTTGGTAATGGAGTTGTACTATTGTACTTTTGCCATGTCAAATTATTTATAATAATTTGCCTAAAACTTCTTCTTCACTCTGTCAAATATTTCATCTACGCCGCGGTGGCAGAAAAATTCGTGGATGTCCATCATTTTTGTTTCTTTTGGTTTACATCACCATCGGTGCACTTTTTTCATCGTTTTTACTAAAAGTTCAGAATCAAAATCAAAACAATATTACACGCCTTTTACTTTTCAACAGTCACTTCAAACTATTATTTAGATTATAATACAAGAACAACATCATAATATTATAAATTAGTAAGGAATACACTCTAATGAGCAACAAAAAAAAAGTTTAACATAGAATTAGCATTTTCAGTTTCTTCCGATATAATATGTATTTTTGAATTTTTAAAATGGCAATTTGAAACAACGCGAAGGAAAGAAACAATGATATCTTTTTCTCGCTTAATTTTATACGCCCCTTCCACACATATGTAATATTATTATTGTGTGCTATTTTCTCGGATTTTATACAGAGTTGCATCGTCCTGATATTGTGTGTACTATTGTAAACAATGTGTGTTTTATTTATAAAAAAAATAATTACAGTGCATCAGCGATGCACTGTAATTATTTTTTTGCATTTTAAATGCTGTCCGCGTGAATATATACTTATACAGCTACATTTGTTTACTAAAGAACTGAGACAAAAATTTAAAACAGTTTTATGTTCAACCCAATTACAAACATGGCATCTAGTAATAAAGTCACAAATCTTACGATCATTAGTTACAAAAGAGGAACAAATCAATGCATTACTCCTGTCACTTGGAACTGAAAGGACATAGGTTAAATAACATTTCGTGTGAAATCAAACTTTAGTTATTACAAATTAAAGTACTTTTCCCGTTATTGCCTAGTAAGCTACGTCGTTTTGTTTCGTTTCTGTTTGCTTCTTCGAATTGTGCTACATTTTAGTTATGGAGTTGCGTTGAACACTAAAATAATTTATATTATGATCATAAGTTTATTTAAAATTATGTATTTATGTTTTGGGCATTTATCTGTGTATACATACTTTCCACACGAGCCATTAAATATAATATAGTATGTAGTATAATGATTGGATTTAATTAGATAAGTCAATATATATTTATTTTAGTTTTTGTATGTATAATGTTTGTAGTATATGTATTATATATATTATATATATATAAATATATGTATTCTTTTTCATCACACCAATTTGACCTACCCCTGTTATCTTCGTGTAATCCTGTCGATTCATTGGTTGTCTCAAAAAAATTGCTGTAAGCAATAAGATCGCCCATTGGGTACTTCTTTGTGTTGGTGTGCAATAAAGAATAATAAATTAAAAAAAAATACTTATTAATTTAAGGTTTGGTGTATAATATGATTTATTAGATGAATATAAATATTATAAAGATAAATATATACATATATATATTTATCTTTATAATATTTATAATAGATATACAATTAAATTGCTACCTAAAATTAACTATAAATATACTGGTATACTACCAAAAGAAATTACTCTAAGAAAAATATTGATAAGTTTCGTAAATGTCTCCGAAATATATCGTGGGAAAAAGAAACTACAGATGACACTTTAAATAATATTTTTAATAAATTTCATGATTTAATTTGTTTATTATATGACCTCTGTTTTCCATTACAAAAATATAAAATCAAAACAGACAATCTCGCTCCAAAGTGGATCACAAAAGGTATAAGAGTTGCGAGTAAAACTGAAAGAAAACTAAAACATAAATATTACGAACACAAAAGTTTAGAAAACAAAGTAATTTATAACAAATATTCAAAGTTATTAAAAAGATGCGTAACATGGTCAAAATTTTTTTAAACATGCAACACCTGTTACATTCAAAAAGTAAAAGTAAAGCTACCTGAGAAATTATTAAAAATTATGAATATAATGATATACGAAATAATAATATTGACTCTATTAATTGTAAAGGAACTAAAATAGATCATCCTTTCGACATTGCCAGTAAATTTAATGAGTATTTTATTAATGCAGCTCTTCGTGACTCTTCTTCTTTAAACAATAAAACTAAAAGGAATATATATATGAAAATGTTCTATCATCGATCTTTTTAAAAGCTTGCTCATTAAATGAAATTATACTTATTATAAACTCTCTTAATAATGCTAAATCTGTTGGTTATGATTCTATTACTACACACATACTGAAATCATGTGTGAAGGAAATTGCACCAACTCTGACATATTTAATAAACCTTTCTTTCATACATGGAAGATTTCCAGATAAATTTAAAACATCTATAGTCAAACCCTTATTTAAAAAGATGACCGTCATGAGATTCATAACTACAGGCCGATCACGTTGATACCCATTCTGTCCAAAATATTTGAAAAAGCCATGCATAGTCGAATTACTAGTTTTGTAGCAAAATATACTCAGAAACGAACGAAATGGCTTTCAAAAGCATAAATCTACTACACTTGCTACCTTTTCACTGATACGTCGAATAACTGAATATATTAATAATAGAGTACCAATAGTAGCCATCTTTATTGATATGTCTAAAGCATTTGATTGTGTAGAACATAGTACGTTGTTGTACAAATGTGAAAAACTAGGAATTAGAGGACCGGCTTTGGAATGGATCGAAAGCTATTTGACAAATCGGTAACAATGTACCACAAATACCACGTATTAATAATAATCTAGAGTTAACATATTACAGATCTCCTTATCTACAAAATAACTTTGGGGTACCTCAAGGGATTGTTATAGGGCCTTTATTGGTCATTATTTCCATACTATTTGCTGATGACATATCAATTGTTATACCCCACACTAATAATTCACAGATATATGAAGAAGAGATAAATTCTACTATAAAGTCAGTTATATCATGTCTAGAAGATAATAATTTACAAGTCAATACTAACAAAACTAAATATATTCAATTTGGAAATTATAAAACAAAACCACAAAAATTTGACTTAACACATAAGGGCCAACGATTGGTAGAGGTAGTAGATACACAATTCCTAAGTGTTGCTATTGACCAGCATATAAACTGGAAATTACACGTTAATAAATTATGCAAAAACATTAATCAATTTGTTTATGCACTACGTAGACTTCAAAATGTAGCAGGTCCGCAAGCAGCGCGTGTTGCTTACTACGGGTACGTTGAATTCGTCTTAAGATATGGATTAATCTTGTGGGGCAACTCAACCGACGCAAAGAGAGCTTTTCTAAGCCAGAAGAAATGTATTCGTGCACTGTGTAACGTAGGCCCTCTACAGAGCTGTAGACCGCTGTTTAAGGAAAAAAATATTCTCACTTTAACTGGGTTATATATATTGGAAATCTGCGTTTTCGTAAAAAGTAATACTAATCAATTTGTTACCGTGCAGGAAAATAATAAATTTGCAAAAAGAGATCCGACACGTTTACTGATGCCACCTTGTAAAACTGCATTATTCTCGTAATGCAATAGTCTCGTAATGTGTATCAAGGTATATAATAAAGTTCTTAAAAATATTCGTGAACAGCCATTAAGGCGAATGAAAAAAAGTTTAAAGCAGTGGCTAATAAATACTGCCTTTTATAATATCAAAGAATTCTTTAACTATAAATTTTGATTTTGCTTTTAATTTTTTATTGATTTTGTTTAGCTAAGTAAGTTACTATAGATCCAGGATTTTGCGTGATACTCCTCAATTGAATTAAAAGTTATTTTTCTTATTTTGTTATGTTCTTCTAAAACATAAATGTAATCATTACAAAGTGAGTAGGTGTGAATTGGGGCTTCTGCGTCACTTTGCTCTCGCTTTGCTCGAGCTACATGCTGCTGAAGGCCCCCAATTCTCTCCATTAGAGGTCTAAATTTTTAGTCTAATTCTCGATCTCCTTTTTTTATATCTTTGCTCCATTTCTAATACCGTTTCATTCGGAATCTCAAATACAAATGGTTCAATAATATAACAACAAAATATGAAGGCTAATCTATTTCATCGTTAAAAATGCAAGGTGGTACAAAAAACAGTTACTTTAATAATAAGTACTAATCGTTAACGGTCTGAAACAATTTTTTTTCCTTCTTCTCGAACACAAAGGTAGTTTAAATTAAAAGATAATGTGTTTATTTACATATATTTTATTAGAAATCAAAGAATCATTTTGTTTTCAAAACACCATTTCTTAATACATAAAACATTTTTTAACGCACATATTTTCATAAAACAGTTATATTATAATTACTATCAATGATGTTTGTTGAGATACGTTTAAAATATTCATTTTATCAAGCAAACTAGCTTAAGAAATTCTTTGTTAGACTTGGTAAGCTTCTTTTTTTAGCTGAAGAGATGTGCCTTTATGAGATGTTCTTTTAAAACTGGCTTGGATACACGAAGTAGACGGGCTTTTATTGAAATTTATCATATTTTTTTTTTCGGAAATGTAAATACAGTTGCACTTCTTCATCTCGTAAATTTATCTCTTTATTCTCAGCGTTCAATAACTTTATATTGATAGCACTTATGGAACTTTGGTTAATAGGAAAATAAATCAAGTTTCCGGGTATTTCAATTATTCGATAACCAGGTGGTACATTAGGTGCAAATT